CCCCCCTGTTTGAATTTAAGCTGAATCCGCCCCTGCCTCCTAGAGCACCAGATTTAAGTCCGATAATTTTGTTTGTGGGGTTATCTCAAATCGGAAAAAATAGGTGCCATAACGCCGAAAATGGTTCAAAATGTGCGAGAAGAGTTTAGTGGATGGCCGTAATGGCACACAATTTGAACATTCAGTTGACGGATCTGTTTCTTGAAATCAATCGGTTCTTTTCGGGGCAACCGAATTTTTAAAGAAATCGTCCCGATTCATTTTTTAATAGGTTCAATCGCAAATCTCTGGGTAGCTGTTGAGATTATGTTACCTGAATCATACATAGAATTCGAAATTGAAAAAAACTACAGCTTCCATTTGAAAAGAACGAAGTTGACGGTCATAGCTTATTGTTGAACCACCCTTTATCGCATTTTTGCGAAAAAACAGTTTGCTGGATTTTAAATAAATGTCGACAATACTTATGGGGGTCACTGTAACACTGGATAAGAGGACACTTACTCTTCGGCAGTTCCAGAAATCGAATGGTCATAAGAATAAAAAGTCCAATATGTTTCCCATATCACCAACGACGGGTTTTGAGCTAGCAATCGTATTGGTCGACGTCACTGAAAGATTACCGGCATCAAAATCTCATCACACGCGGTACATAACGGCAAAACCCACGAAGAACGAACACGTTACCATATATTCCCAAATGAAGATTGTGCTCTATATGTACGAAAAGCCGAAAAGAAAGAGAATGAAGAAGGCGCGTCGGCAACCGACTGCGAACCAAACTGCTTCTAGACTGAAGACATAGCGGTAGATGGAGTCTTTTGCAGCAGGATGGGTTTTTGGTTCACTGTGCGCGACTGCGGCGGTCTATGCTTGAAATGAACAACTGAAGATGTGTGGCACAATGTTGCTATATTAATAGATTTATTTGTTAATAACTTCCAGGTTCAAACGACCTATTGTGGTTCTCGTGTCAATCAGCTAAACGTGCTTAGGCTTCTGCAGGAATACACTTCACCGTTTCCATTCAAACGCAAATTATTTTCCTATTGATAAATGACGCCCATTGTTATCCAGTGCTGTTGAGGATTGAACAAAGCTAGAAGCCAGATCTTCCCTTTCTTCATCAGGCTCAAATGCTTCATCTACTCTTACTCACGCAATTTCTCAATTGCAGTTATGGGCGCTTCCATTCGGACACAATCTCAAACAGTTAAACAAACCGTCCTTCTTACCTACGTCTATTTGCCTGATGATTTATCAATAATAAAGTTTATGCAAATAGGAAAAAACGAACATAAAACGGTTTCTAATAGCATTTCAAAGCAATTCGACTGAATCCAAACAGAAACCGTGCCCAAATGGATGCCCACTTATTAAATCGGAACGAATAATCCGAATACCTGCAGGCCAATTCCCAACACATTACGCATATAACAAAGTGGTATTTATAGCTATATTTGTTATGGGATGGACGTTAATATACACACACCACTTGAGATATGGCTTTGTGGTTCTAACTGACGCAGATAGGACTTTTATGGGCACCAACATGCGTAAAACTATGAAATTTATGGCTTCGGGTTGACCATTGCCTATTTTCATTAGATCTTCACTTGCATCCAGCATGGGATTTGTTTCTACTTCAATGTTGCTTAATTTAACAAAAATCTCAACGTTAAAAAACGCTCCTCGGTTTTCTTCTAAGGGGATTTTGCTTTTTCTAGTTGCAGTTCTTAAGGAGGAACAGAAAAAGCCATAATAGAGAAACTTTTCCTCTTTGTCTCCACATAGTTAATCCTCTGAGCGGCTCTTGGCTGTTTTCAAACCATTTTTCATTAAAGCGCGGAGAAAATCGCCCAAAATGTTCAATTCTTCCGCTATTATCATTTAGCTAGCCAGTTCTTCACTTGTCCTTAAACCCTGTTTTTTATTTTATTTATTGTTTTTCATTCCCAACGTTTGTTGAGTGTGACTAATATTTGAAAGTGGTGCAATAATTCAAACAAATATGAAGTTTTAAAGACAATAAAGAATCCAATGTTTCCCAATTATTATGGGTTTGTTTGTCTCGCCGAAACGTAATACGAAATAAACGATATGAACATTTAATTTCACATTTTGACTGAAACCCAGGAAAGAAAAAATGTAATAACAATTACACGCAGTCGGAAAAATAAATGAAAATTTTAAAGTGGTAACAAGATTTTTAATATTTAGCTACTCGCATGACCTTTTACATTTTATTTCTTGTTTGCTTCTGTTCTCCAAACTTGATTTCTCTTTGGTGCATTGTTAGACCCATGCTTAATGCGCTATCTGAATAGAAAATTTCTAAAACTTTTGGATAATTTGCAGAAATTCTAAGGCAAAGAGTGTAAGGATATTTTTTCTTTTGAAATCCCTGCGTCAATTAAATGTCTCTCATTAAAGCAGCATATTGAAGATAACCCAAACAAGACATCAAAATTTGATGCCAAAGGTGCCACCGAGGATCCTGTTGAGTAAATTTGGAAATAAAAGTTTTGAGATGGGAGTAGGAAGATCCTTTTGGGTAAATTTTGAACAAAAGGATTTGGGAATCAAATGAGATCAAGCACAAAACGCTGTTGGCACAAGATTGTGAGGCCAGTAAAACCGCTCTTGAAGAATAATGTATTGAAGTGGCCCAGTTCGTCCGGCACCAGCAGGAATAACGTTCCTGCTAAGCAGAGGTCCGGTATAGATAACCGACCTAACACTTCCCCTTTTCAGATCGACCTCAAATGAAAAAAGATGTCTGTTGTTTTCCGAGAAGCAAAACGATTTAAACGGCGATTAAATAAGTATAGTGCCATATTGGGGCCGAATAAGTTCCGTCAACGATGTTCTAGGTTTTTCTTGTAGAAAAAGACCACACATTGCCAATGCTGAAAAATGCGGAGTAATTAACACTTTACAGTTGGTTGGCAGCAGTTTAAGCAAAATGTGTTTGCTATAAACTTAGGACGTGATATAGTGGATCGCGATTGAAAAAATCCTATAATGGCATTTAAGCAGCGAGCATCTTAAATTCCTACCCAAACTGGGATGATGTAACAATGCAAAAACCATGCCAGCCAACTATTAACAGTCTCATTCAGGACTTATCTGGAAGGAATCTATGGAAAATGGCTATTGTTGGAAACCGTTTCGCGACCGAAATACGAAACGACTCTTTGATTAACGGCTTTCAACAGAAATTACCTACAGTCTGATAGAGATAAATCACTGAATACAACGTTTCTTTAATCTACGCAAATGAACATTTAAACATTCGCATATGAACTAGCGGCATAAATATGGAAATAATTTAATTGTGGGATATCTCACGATAATAAAGCTTCTGCATAGATATAGAGGAAATGTATCACGTTCATTTTCCGGAAATTGTTTTCATTACACTGTAATCCGCTTGACGGACTATGCGAATATTGAATTTAATATTCGCCTGCATGGGTTTTAAACGAGTGGATAATAGATTCGATTATCAGCTTTAAAAAATGTGTCTTCAAACGCTAAGGCTTACATGGCAAACGAAACATACATTCGCTAATACAAATCCACCAGACTCCATGTCTTCCTTATGTTGTGACCTAGAAATCGTGGAGAAAAAATGAATTGTTAGCAATAATTAGCCACCGAAGATGCGGTCAAACTGAATGGTCTATATATTTTCTAGAGATTTGTGCCATACCATTCGAGAGTGTATATAGAAATCGTTATATCATTAAAATTAATGGAAAATTGTGTTAATTAGCCGATGCAGCCTTGTTGATGAGCATCCGTTTTCGAATTCCAAAAGAAAGTATCGTTTCTGAAGAGGATTTAATTTTTTTTTAATTATGCCAATTTTTCCCCAGTTAGATGAAATTATATTATTTGAGTTGAATAGTTTATGGGAAAGCTGATTTCGTTTTAATCACTACTTGATTCTTATAAATAACAATTGGAGGTTCATGAATGAAAAATACGCGATAAAAATATTAAGAATTTAGGAATGTTCTTCCCAATTTTTAGGCAAATGAAACTACTAATTCTTTTAGGTGGAACATCATGAGAAAGAAAGAAATTTTCGAAACTTTCAAGTCCGTTTCATTTCAGTGGCAACACAAACGACAATCTTGGCCACTGCTTTCTGGAAATTTTCTTGTAGATGCTAGTCATTATCTTAAATTGAGTTCCGAGTTCACATGCTGGAAATCATTGTTTCGCTCATAGAAAAATGCTTAAGTCCGCTTAATCTGAGACGAATATTAATTAGTCAATTAATCAATCCATGTAGGGACTTGTTTACGGCAATTCGCTGTCCACCGCACGAAATTAGTCCAATTTTTTCGGCCATTCGATAATCGAATTACCCAAATTCCAAGTTGGGCTTCATACTAAAAAATACCGTAAAACCGCAGTATTTGCATTCGGTCACAGTCTACATTTAAAGGTATTTAGTAGGCAGACGTCGTGGTAACTTAGCGATTTAAGTGTTTTTTACTCATCGGTAAATCCTTGGCTGATGGCCAATGGACTGAATGGTTTCAGTCCAAGTTTGGTTATCCAATCGTTGACTAGCAGGGGATGGTTGATAATTTCACGAGCTTTCAGAGATTCCTCAAGTTCAACGGTTCCGCAGGTAAACTTGCATCATCTTTGCGCGAACTGGCTGAGTCATTTTTAATAATTTTAAACCCCGCGGACCTTTCTCGGAAGGCAGAATCAACAGATAATTAAATAAATTGCAATGCTTGCAAAAAACTAGTTTTTTTGGGAGCTTCCTGTATTGACCAATGGTGCTCGCTTCAATTTGGCTGCAATAAATGTAAAATTGCAACGTATCAAACGTTGAGTTCTCAATCATCAGAGAAAGAAATCTATTCGTAATGCCAGCCAATGATCCATCAATATTCCTGTTGGCTGACAGGAAAATTGTTAATACATATCAAGCCGAACTCTTACGCCGAGCATGTCATGATGTAATCAATATTCCTGCTTGTCAGTGCTCTTCAGGATATCGATTCATTGATAGACATTTTAATATGAAAATTATTCCAGATGTAAACAATTATGCCTGCCCTGTTTTAGTTCATGCTGGATGTATTAGTTGGCTAAAATATGGAGAATGTTATAGAAAGAATAGTTAGCAGGCTTGCAATGGGATTGCCTTCTGTGCGGACTCGTATAAAAGACATTGAACCAACGAGAAAACATCTTCAGATTTTTGCTTTGCTACGGTTTAAAGTCTAGCTTACGGCTTAAGCTCTAGTTTCTGCAAATAGAAATATTCAATGGGCTGATCCTTAATCTTATCGGTTATTTACATTGTATTGTATGCCAAGTTGAAGCGGAATCCCACAAATCCCGGCAAAAGATCAGTGGAAAAATTTGCGATCCAAGAAAAACCCCGCAGATTCATAATTATGTCTGACTTGCCCAAAATCTCACGAGTCCATTGCGGACAACAGAGTTAAAAATATTTTCAGCATTGCATTAGCCTGATATTAATTACTATTGTTTTTGCTGGGAAACTTGGAAAGCATTGAAGTTTGAATATCAAAAGGCTGCGAAGCTGTTTGCAAAAACTGGATAAAATTAGCAATAAGCAAATAATTTTTATTGAGAAAGCAGTTTCAAAAGGGTCGTGCAATCGTTTCTGTGAGGGCCAACAATTTTTTTCCGTTTGAGCTCAAGCCTACAAAGCAAGATCTGCTCAAGAGAGATTGGAATTGGGAAAGCAATATTTATATCTGTAAAGTTGCTGATGACGAGGTCAAACTTTAACTTTCTATTTATGTACAAGTACTTAGTTTAGGAAACATAATTAAACAGCAATTTACTTAACTTGATTATTAAATTTTAT